GTCTCGATCTCCTAACCTTGTGATCCGCCCGCCTCGGCCTCCCAAAGTGCTGGGATTACAGGCGTGAGCCTCAGCGCCTGGCCTTTACTAATTTTTAAATAGAGATAGGGTCTTTCTCTGTCACCCAGCCTGGAGTGCAGTGATGTAATCTCAGCTCACTACAGCCTCAAACTTCTGGGCTCAAGTGATCCTCCTACCTCATCCTTCCAAGTAGCTGGGACCACAGGTGCATGCCCCCATTCCCAGGCTAATGTTTAAATATTTTTGTGTAGAGATAGGGTCTCACTATGTTGCCCAGGCTGTTCTTGAACTCCTAGTCTCTGGTGATCCTACTGCCTTGACTTTATTTTTAATTTTTTGAGGAACCTCCATACTGTTCTCCATAATGGTTGTACTGATTGATATTCTCACCTACAGGGGTTCCCTTTCCCTCTTCTCCACATCCTCACCAATACTTGTTATCTTTTGTCTTTTTTTTTTTTTTGAGACAGAGCCTCACTCTGTTGCCTAGGCTGGAGTGCAGTGGCGTGATCTTGGCTCACTGCAACCACCGCCTCCCGGCTTTAAGTGATTCTTCTGCCTCAGCCTCCTGAGTGGCTGGGACTACAGGTGCACGCCACCACTACCCGGCTAATTTTTGCATTTTTAGTAGAGACAGGCTTTCACCACGTTGGCCAGGATGGTCTTGATCTCCTGACCTCGTGATCCACCCGCCTTGGCCTCCCAAATATAGTACCCATTCTAACAGGTGTGAAGTGATATCTCCTTGTGTTTTTAATTTGCATTTCCCTGATGATTAGTGCATTTTTTTCATATACAGTTTGGCTAACTCCTGTTTTCTAATTTATTGCACAAATGTAATCATAAAAGAGAAACAGGAACATTACTCACAGACCAACCAGCTTAATACTCAACTGTTCTCAATATGATGTGTTCCATTATAGTTTGTGAATGCTTATTTTATATGAATTCTATGAATGCTTAGTTTGATGTACTTGTGATTGACCGCTGTATAATTTTTCCATTGGCATTTAGAAAATGTCACACTTCAAACATGTTTCTTCTTTATGAGATGGAGCTTGCTTTTATGCTAACTTCTTGGAGTCAGCCAGCCTCACAGGGATGTTTCACGTAAGTGATGGTGGGGTGGGAGGAACACAAAAGATCCAGTGGTGCTGGCTGAGCCAATCCCTGTTCCACTGGCCCTTCTCTCCACTGCCCCAATGTGGTGCTGTGTAAGGAAGCATGGCCAGCCTCAGGGCTTCAGAGTGCTTTGGTTAACAGTGAGGTCTGACTCCCACTGCTAGAAGGAGGTGTCGTAAGCTGTAGGGCTGTTGCTCTTTACCCTTCTCTGTCATTACCCACGAGGAGGTGTGTTTGGGCTGGAGGCCTGGGCTCACGTGGAGGGTGTGCAGCCAAGACCATCATCATTGGTCTGATGGTGAATTTTAAGCAACTCTGAACCTAACCTGTGCTCCGTAACAGTTTCTGAAATGAGGTATACAGAGATGGGAAGAATCTTTTGGAAAAGAGAGACAGACATAGTAAAAAAAAAAAAAAAAAAAAGAAGGAAGAAAAGAAAAAGGGAAAAGAATAGATGTAACAAAAATACAGCTGGATTGTACATTTCATAATACACATCCATTCATAAATATACTTTAGTTTCATCATTTTTAAAAATTCCTAGTAGTATAGATAAGGCAGAAGTAACACTTATGGGGAGAACAGACTACAATTTGGCAGCAAAAGGAAGGCGTTAAACTGTAGCTGGAAATAACAACAGAGTTGATCTGTTCTATATTAGTTCTTCCGTCTTCAAAACCAACAAAATGATTGCAGGTTTAAAAAAAAGAAAGTGGCTGGACACGGTGGCTCACACCTGTCATCCTAGCACGTGGGAGGCCGAGGCAGGCAGATCACCTGAGGTCAGGAGTTCGAGACCAGCCTGGCCAACATGGTGAAACCCCATCTCTACTAAAAAAAAAAAAAAAAAAAAAAAGAACCAGTAAATTAACCGGGCATGGTGGCTTATGCCTGTAGTTCCAGCTATTCAGGAGGCTGAGGCAGGAGAATCACTTAAACCTGGAAGCCAGAGGTTGCAGAGAGCTGAGATTGCACCATTGCATTCCAGCCTGGGCAACAAGAGCAAAACTGTGTCTCAAAAATATAAAATAAGAGTAAAAGAAAGAAAGAAAAAGGTAGCCTTAATTTAGTGATGTTATTAAGAATAACAAATGCCTGTTTGATGATCAGTTCTGAACTCTCAGGTTTGCCTGTTCTGACTCAAGTTATGGTGAAACTGTATTTATCTTCCAGTTTTTAATACGGTCCTTGCTGCAGTGACTTCATTCTGGAGAACTGGCATTATGAAAACATTGTAGTGGTTAGTGGTTTTAATACTCATTTCACAAGAATAATGAAATAAATCTTTTCCTCACTGAGTGTGTAGTACGATGCAGGTGAGGTGTCTGACACCTGAAAGTCAGGCTGACCCATGAACGACACTGGCTTGAACTATGTGGGTCCATTTAGATGGAGACTTAAAAAAATCAATACATTGGAAAATTATTTGGAGAGTTGCAACAGGTTGAAAAAAACTCAGATGAACCGAGTAGTCTAGAAATACGGAAAAAATTGAGAAAAAGTTACATATGTCATGAATACATAAAATACATGTAGATACTGATCAGTTTTATCATTTACTACCATAAAATATACACAAATCTATTATAAAAAGTTAAACTTTGTCTAAACTTATGTACACGCAGACTGTACATGGTGCTAGTCATAGTTGAGAGAAATGTAAACAAATGTAAAGATGCAGTATTATAACTGCATACAAGTAACTGTAGTACATACAGTACTCCTGTAATAATTCTGTGGCCACTTCCTGATGTTGTTGCAGTGCGCTCAAGCATTGGGCGTAGCCGCTTGGAAGGCACTGTGATGCTAGTCATCTCTGTGGGAGCAGTTCCTCTCTCCAGTACATTTCAGATCACGGTGAAAAGTGACCTCTTAAGGTTCTTGAGTATGTTTTATTGTGTGTAGTGCAGTACCACAAACCTTGAATAACACTGTGGGACCCATATGAAGTGCCACTAGTGATACTGGCAGTGCTCCCTAGAAGCCATTAAAAGCCCTGACAGAATTGAATTGCTTGCTAGATTGAGGAATGGTTGCCTGCCGCTTCAGACAGATGCTTCATTTTGCAAACAGATGATGTAAACTTATGGTATTGATAAATACAGTATGGTACTGCAAATGTATTTTCTCTTCCTTACAGTTTTCTGAATAACATTTTATTTTTCTTCTATCTCACTTTATCTTAAGAATACAGTTTGTAATACATATAACATACAAAATACGTGTTAACTGTTTATGTTATCAGTCAGGCTTCTGGTCAGCAATAGGCTATTAGTAATTAAGTTTCTGGGGAGCCAAAAGTTATACACAGAGTTTTGACTGCATAAGAGGTTGGTACCCCTAACCCCCAAGTTGTTCAGGGGTCAACTGTATTAAAAGTCTGTGATATACTCTTGGCTTTCCAGAAACTTAATTTGAAGAAGTTAATTTAAAAACCATAGTTTTCTGTGTATTAATTTGACAGTTCAGCCTTTATGAGATCAAAGTTTCAAAGGAGCTCAGTTGTTAGATGTTTTGTAATGAATGCCATCAGCCTTTATGTTGTCAGGATCCAGGATGTTTAGATGTGTGTTTGCGCAGGGCTCAGAAACAGTCTTGGTGGTAGGTTTACAGCTGCCCATCTTGTTAGGTGCGAACCTGTGCTGGGGCTGCTGCCAGTCTATGCCAGTCTATCCTACGCTGCAGAGGCTTACAGGTTGATGACCACTTCTGGGACCCTTTGTTAGACCTCTCACTCAAAGCATGTAGAGTTGTGTAAGTGACAGCAGCCAGCCTTGACTCATCAAATAGTCTTTGAGTTTGTAAAAGAAAAAAAAAATGTCCAGGATTTTAATTTACACTGTAACATCTGAGGTGGATTTCAATTCTAGAGCACAATAGAGACTGATGTCTGGGTTTCACCCCTAGGATTGTTTTTACATTGTCCATGCTATAGTACAGATGAAAATGAAAGATAATTATTTACACCTTACATTTCCTGTTACAAGTATTCTGTGTTATGTCTGTATCATGTCAAGTACCGTAGGTATGTTCTTATTTCATTTATTCTTGTTTCTTCATGTACACAAATGAGTGCATCATTTCCAGTTATGTCAAAAGTGATATGTCATTGTATCAGATCCATCTCTCAGTATTATCTGTATATTCTGATTTCTTAATCAAATTTATGCTGTCAAAATATGTTAATGATGTTTTTTAAAGTGTTTATTGAGAAATTCACAAAGAACTTGTATTTTGTCAAAAGGCCATTGTTTAGTTGCCAGCATTATCAGTGCAGATGTACTAAATTGCAAGTTACAGAAAACCCAACTCAAGGTGACTTATAGGAAGGGTATTTACTGGCTTGCCTATCTGAAAGGCCAGCTATGGGCCAAACTTCAGGGTTGATTTGATTTAGCAACTCAACAATGCTATTGAGAATGTAGTTTCCTTCTTCCTTTTCTGCCATCTGCATTCCCACCTTCCTCTTGAGAGGGCAGAGTGGTTAGCAGCCATTCCCACACCTACACATTTTCTCACTCTTGTCCCATGGTGTTTAATAGCTTGCCCAGAAAACCTTCCCTTTGTCGTATTGATCTTAAAATTGAGCTGTGTGCCCATGCGTGAACCAGCAACTGGCTGGGGATGGGGTCATCCTAAGTAGCTCAGGCTTGGAGTCAGCCTCACCCAAAGTATAGGGCTGTGGGGAAGAAGCACAGAAACCCCAGTCAGAACTGGGTGATTAGCTAGAGGAGGAGGAAATGGATGAAGAGTGACAGCCACTGGCCACTGTGCCATGTGATTTACAGTCATTTGGGTTTTGTTTATAAGAGTACTTGCTTTATTTTTTCATTTTTTTTTCTTCTTCTGTCTTTAAGGGGCCTTTACAACAACCAAACGGACAGGCATTCCAGCGCCACGGGAATTTTCAGTAACTGTCTCAAGAGAGAGGTCTGTGCCACGTGGTCCCTTGAACCCCAGGAAATCAGTGTCCAGTCCAACTTCTTCCAACACTCCCACTCCTACCAAACACCTGAGGACCCCTTCCACCAAGCCCAAGCAAGAGAATGAAGGTGGAGAAAAGGCTGCGCTTGAGTCCCAAGTTCGGGAACTTTTGGCAGAAGCCAAAGCAAAAGATAGTGAAATTAACAGGCTTCGAAGTGAACTAAAGAAATGCAAAGAGAAAAGGACTCTTAGCGCTGAGGGGACTGATGCTTTGGGCCCAAATGTTGATGGAACATCAGTCTCCCCAGGTGACACAGAACCTGTGATAAGAGCACTTGAGGAGAAGAACAAGAACTTTCAGAAAGAGCTTTCCAATCTAGAGGAAGAAAACCGGGCCCTGAAGGAGAAACTGATCTATCTTGAGCACTCCCCAAATTCAGAAGGAGCAGCAAGTCACACTGGTGACAGCAGCTGCCCGACATCCATAACTCAAGAGTCAAGCTTCGGAAGCCCAGCTGGAAATCAGTTGTCCAGTGACATTGATGAGTATAAAAAAAACATACATGGAAATGCATTACGGACATCAGGCTCCTCAAGTAGCGATGTTACCAAAGCTTCTTTGTCGCCAGATGCTTCCGACTTTGAGCACATTACCGCAGAGACACCCTCAAGGCCCCTGTCCTCCACCAGTAACCCCTTTAAGAGTTCAAAGTGTTCTGCCACTGGGAGTTCCCCAAACAACGTCAGTGAATTGTCCCTGGCTTCCCTCACAGAGAAGATACAAAAGATGGAAGAAAACCACCATAGCACTGCAGAAGAACTACAGGCTACTCTACAGGAACTATCAGACCAGCAACAAATGGTGCAGGAATTGACAGCTGAAAATGAGAAGCTGGTGGATGAAAAGACGATTTTAGAGACATCCTTTCATCAGCATCGAGAGAGGGCAGAGCAGCTAAGTCAAGAAAATGAGAAGCTGATGAATCTTTTACAAGAGCGAGTAAAGAATGAAGAGCCCACCACTCAGGAAGGAAAAATCCTTGAACTGGAGCAGAAGTGCACAGGTATTCTTGAACAGGGCCGCTTTGAAAGAGAGAAGCTGCTCAACATTCAGCAGCAGTTGACCTGTAGCTTGCGGAAGGTTGAGGAAGAAAACCAAGGAGCTTTAGAAATGATTAAACATCTGAAGGAAGAAAATGAAAAACTGAATGAGTTTCTAGAACTGGAACGGCATAATAATAACATGATGGCCAAAACTTTGGAAGAGTGTAGAGTTACCTTGGAAGGGCTAAAAACTGAGAATGGATCTTTGAAGTCTCATTTGCAGGGTGAGAAGCAGAAAGCCATAGAGGCCAGTGCCATGGAGCAGACGGCAGAGAGCTGCGAAGTTCAAGAAATGTTGAAAGTAGCGCGAGCGGAGAAAGATCTACTGGAACTGTCTTGCAATGAGCTCAGACAAGAATTACTAAAGGCAAACGGTGAAATTAAACATGTTTCCAGTCTGCTGGCAAAGGTGAGAAGAGACAGCTCTTTACTGGTATTTGCTCATCCTTGTTCACATTTCTGCCCTTAACCTCTAAATTCACAGAGCACAGAGAAGCATTTGCTTAGTCTGTTTCATTCACGAAGCCAGCATTCCGGCTTGAAGGCCTGTTAGATCGACGACAGGTTGGGATTGGGGATACAAAAAGGAAACACCCAAATTTCTGATTATGGGTGGTTCAAAGTGTACTGGGGATTTAGAATCAAATCAGAGTATGATGCAGTGATAAAGAATATCATAGAGCCTATGCCCAGGCTCTAGTCTAGTGCCAAGATGAGGGGGGGCCCTGGTATAACATGGGGGTTGAGGGTAGCACAGAAGGACTTCCTGGAAGAAATAGCAACTGAGCTGAGTTCTGAAGATTGAGTGGGAGTTTGCCAGGTCTGTCAGCCTGCTTTTAACTGCCAGTAACAGACAATGAAATCACTCCCAATTTTCCACCATAATATTACCACTATTTTGGTGTTTTCTTCCAGATATATGTGTGTGTATGTGTATCATACAAGTTAAACAAATTTATAATCATCCTGTACATGTTATTAACTTTCTTTTTGCATTTAGCATTTTAGAAATATTAAAATTTTTCTCAGTATATTCCTATCATTAAATATTCATTTAAACATTCTTTTAAAGGCCAGGTACTATTTTAATATAAATATTTCATATTTATTAGGTCCCTGTTGTTGAACATATATGTATTGTCAAATATTTGTGGTCTTTCCAGTCTTTCAATATTATAAATACTTTTTTTTTTTTTTTTATCTATCTTACTGTTTATTTAGGACAAATTCCTAGACGATGACTTACCGAGTCAAAGAGTATAAACATTTTAAAGACTTTCAACACATTCAGCCAGATTGCCCTTCGGAAATATTATGCCAGTTTATTCATCCTAGTGGTCATGAGATCATGTGCTTCCCTGAGTCTTTGCCAACACTTGGTATTACGTTGTTACATCATTTAAATATGTTAATCATTTCATTTTTTTAACCTTTTTTGCTTGGGAAGATCTTCCATAGCCCAAGAGCAAATAAATAAGAACTTTTCTTGTTTTTAAAAAAATAATACTTTAATCAGCCTGTAATTTTGTTTTTTGATGCAAGAATTGTAGTGATTATATGATATTCTGCCCAGAGCAGTGCTGGAGAGGTGCAGAGATGGCTTCCTGTTTCCTGTTTCCTGTTTCCTCCAAGTTCTGGGTCTGATTTAGGGATCTGCTGGCAAGAGGGATTCAAAACATCTTCCTATCTTAGGTCAGGGGTTGTCATTGTTTCAAGGAGCAAATTATGCCATGAGCTCTCAGGGAGATTTTCCTCCACTGCTTCATCTGTCTTAAGATGAGTCCGTTGCAACCTGATTCTGCGTTTGGCCATCTGATGGGCTTACTGGTGGGCCATGTTAAGGAGTTTCTCTCTTTGTCTGTATTCTAAATTTGTAGGTATTTTATTGAAAGTATGGAAGTAATTCCATTAGAGGTTACTAGACAGGCTTTGCATTAGGTTTTAATGTCTTGTGGAATAAGACTATTCTTTTTTTACTTTAAGATACTCAGTACTCTCTGGCAAAATGTTTCATCTCCCATGTGCACCTTCTTGAAGTTCTGTCTCAGTCCCTCTGTAGTTTTGGTAGTTTGGCATTACATGAAGCGTATGTGTCAGTGAGAAATAATCTGACATCTTAAAAATAGCTTATTTTTTTCTCATCATAAAATATTTTCATTACAGAGGATTTAAAAAGTACAGAAAAGTATAAAAAAGAAAAATATTACCTTTAATCTCACCACTTGGAGAAAAACTGCTAACATTTTGCTATATGTCCTTTCAGGCCTTTTCTCAGTTTACACATGTTTGAGCTTGCATAAAAACTTGCATTGATATGATTATGATATTTTGTCTTCCTATCCAGAAGAGTATGTCTGTCCACATTCCATTACAAAGAACCAGTTGGATTAGTTTATCTATTCCACTGTTAATCTGTTTCTGATTAACTTGTTTCTACTTTTATCTTTATTAATTTTTTTGTCCTATTTTTTGTACATTTTGGTTTCTTACTAGTTTCTTGAGTAAAATTCTTTGTTCATTTAACTTTTTTTATCCTTGGTTGTTAATGAAAGCATTTAAAGTTATTATAGCTTAGGTAAATAGAGGCAATAAAATCTAGAATCTTCTGGAATAAACTAAATCTAATTTAAAGGAAAGTGCATTTTCGGTAGAGTGCAAGGCACAACATATATATTTAAAATCAAACTGTTATTATTCATATATCCTACCTCTTATTGCATGCTAACTAGAATTATCAAATACTGATAGTAAGAGGGGAAAGGTCCTAGCTAGTATTTTTGGGTGAGAGTTTGAGGTAAAGATGGGGGCATGCTATCATATAGGGTTTCTTGTATATCTATCAAAACCCTAGGTCTGTGATTTTGTGCTGTCTTATGTGCACAGAGACTGGTTTGTAATTGCAGTGGACTTGTAACATACTAATCTTCCTACCCTTTTACATTACTGTAGAAAAAGCAAAACACAGACCTCCTAAATGGACTAATGCTTACTGTATCTCTACCACAGACTATCAACTAATCCGCCAACAACCATGAATTTAAATGATAATACTTAAGAGACTCATGTCCAAAGGATAATAGGAGAAGTTTTAGCACAAAACTGTGATGAAGGATCTAACGTGCTGGACTGGGTCGTCTTGACTTACCCAGTGAGCAATGATATGACCTCGGGCAGGCCCCTTTACCTTGTGCGGTGTGGAATATAAGCGTGACAGTGGATGGATCCTGGTCTCGTATCTAATTCCAAGGGAAGCATTTAACATTTCATCGTGATGTATGTTTTTTGTAGGCATTTGGTGCATACCTTTTATTATGTTATGCAAATATTTTGCTAAGAGGTGTTTTGTTTGGTGGTTTATTTTTAGAGACAGGACCTCGTTTTGTCACTTAGGCTGGAGTGTGGTGGCGATTATAGCTCACTGCAGCCTTGAACTCCCGGGCTCAAGGGATCCTCCCACCTCAGCCTTCTTGGTAGCTGGGACTACAGCCAGGCACCGCCATGCCTGACTACTTGGCTGGTTTTTAAAGGATGAGGACTGAAGTTTTCTACAGCTAATGATGTGATCTGATAGTTTTTATGTAATCAAGTTTTTTTTCTCCTTTAACTTGTTAATGAGGCAAGTTATAACGGCAGATTTTCTAAGGTACTCTAGTGTGAAATCATGCTTGCCTTCCTGGGGTAAATCCTAATTCTTCAGTTTTCAGTGGTTTCACTTGACTTTTTGCTGAGAACTTTCAAATATAGCTGCCTTCAGCAGGTATCGGAGTAACTGTCCTGTTAATCACCAAGCAACTACGTGTATCCCATGAACAGTGCATTCATCCACCCTGATGCTTGGCAGAAGGTGAATATTGTGAAAAAGGATACAATAAGCTATTTACAAAGGGGGAAAGCAGTGCCAAACCATCCTATGATCTAATAGATTCTGTAAATCTATGTAAGTTTCCAGTTAAGATTACTCAAGTGACCCAGTTACTGTCAAAAGAACCTATAAAAAGCCTTGAAAAGTGCTTTTTTAAAAATAGGAGGTAGGTTTCTTCCTCATTCAATACATGGAAAATTGGTAGGATTTCTACAGTATTTTGTAGGCTTTTTTTCTCCCCATTTCTTTTTCTTCGTTGGTTTGCTGATCTCTTTATTTTTTTCAACTTCTCTGATATACCCCATATGCATTTTGATGGCCACTTAATCTGTAGTCACATGACATACTTCTGTACAACTTTGAGGATGGGTCTGATTTCCACAGAACCCAAAGCCACCACTCCTGGGAGCCACACCTGTCCCTGCCCTAGCTAGCAAGCGGCATAGAGTTGTATAGGATTGTTGTTTTTCCAGACAATAACACGACCCAGCTTTAATTTTCTTTTTTACCTTTTCAGTTGTTTGGGATCTTGATTTCAAGTTAGAATATCTTTTTCTAGGCTTGAAACCTAGAAGTTTTAAAAGCAAAACATCTATTTATTCCCCTGAGGTTGAAGCTTGTAGGTGGTATTCTTAGAATCTTAGTTCTTTCTGCAGAAACTTGGGGTCCACTTCCAGAAGTGTAAGGAGATTATAAATAACCACTTGGCATGAGTGGTCTGGGGGAGGCAGCAGAGGTGAAATGACTAGTGTGCTGCCTGAGTGGGTCCTGGAGCCAAACTGATTTAGAGTGGCCACTGGTCAGAGATTGCAGAACCAGAATTTGAGGGAAATATGTGGCAAATAGATGATCCTGTAGCTGTGACATTGGAATAGGACACCTTAAAGGACTTAAGAGATCTGGAAACCTGGTTTAAACAGTGAGGTGGACTGGAAGTCTATCCAGGTGATGTATTGGTGTATGAGAAACTGCCCTCCTGTCAGCAGCATGAGCCAGGGGACACTCCCTCCACCCCGGTCCCTAAGGGTGGGAGATGGGCTGTGGCTGCCCATGGTGCAGGCCCAGGCTGTGGCTGTCAGTGCTGTGGTTCTGGGCCTCCTGCCAGGGATGCAGGACAGCTCAGCATTGCCAAGCATCTTGGTCCACCTGTTGGTGACTCGGGGCAGGCATGTCTCCTGGACACCTGGGTCTTATGGGGAGAGGGTTTCCCAGAGCCTCCCAGAGCTTTCCCTTTACATCTGATTGGTGAGAACTGGGTCACACAGCGCCCCCAGGCCATCTCTCTTGAAATCACAGTTGCAGCCTGATTCTTGAACAAAATTGGGATTCTGTTAGGAAGAAACAAGGTGGGGGTGGCTTTTGGTGGGGAATGGGCACTTGCCCCACCAGGCCTCCACTCCCTCACCTTTCCCCACAAAGTACTCATAGTGATCTGATCATGTGGTGCCTTCTGGTGCTGCCTGGGGCACCACATGCTTTGCCCAGTGCCCAGCTCCCACCACACCTCAACTCGCAGTCCCACCCCACATCCAGCCATATTCCCACCC